TATATATATAAATGGCGATGCTCGTCCTCGTTCTCGCTCTGCTAGGGTTCACATATGGCGATCCTTGGTTTTTTTGCTTCACTGCATTTTTGTTGATCTGTGTTGTCTTCGTCTCTTTCGTCTTCGTCGCAAGTCTTGTTGCAGAGGATCTGTTTCGTCGTCCCGATTCAGCGGCTCTCTTGACAGGTCGTCGGGCTCGGGGGCGTCTGTTCAGCGGGTTTCGTCTTCCTGATTCAACGTCTCGCTGCGGCTTTTGAGGGACGTTTGGGCGCGGGCTTCTGCAGCTCGTCGTCGTCCCGAGAAGTGTTGCTCGGAGGCGTCTCTTAGCTGCCGCTAGCTGGTTCTTTTGCTGTGCCGCTAGCTGGTTTTCTTTTCGTCTGCAGCTTACAGAGGGGCTTTCCTCCACTCCTTGCTCCTTGTTTGGTTTCGTAATTTGCTCTCTCTACGTCCATCTATTGGGATGACTTCAGACAGATTGTATGCTGCTGCCCTTGTGGGTGCCCAAGCCTCATATACACCTAAATCGTGCTATTTTTCTCATTCGTTTGAGTGGGAGGAGGAAATCGAGAAACCTGGTAGAAAGAAAAACCTGCCATCTTTTTTACAGAAGCTGAATGTATTCAACTTGTTTCCTCCTGTCGTCTGAATTTAGTTGGAAAATTTTTGTATGGTTATCTTAAAATGGAGCTTATACAGGAGGATTTTGAGCTTATGCACCTTGTTGGATTGGAAAATTAAACTTTTAGATGGAGGAGTGAAAAATTGGGAGTGAAAAATTGGACTTTTAGATGGAAGACACACTCTTATTCAACTTAATAATGAAGAGGATTACATGCGTTTATTTGCTATAAGGATTATCTGGGTTGATAACAGAGCAATGAAGATTCTGAAATTGTTTGTAGATTTTGACCCACAGACGGAACCACCAATCATTTCGGTTTACATTCGCTTTCCTGGTCTGAAATTTCATTATTTCACTCAAAAATTGTTGTACTCTATTGCCTCAGCTTATGGTAAATTACTTAAAACGAACATTCCTACTTTTAACCTTTCCCGCCCATTTGAACCAAAGCACTTCTTGAAAGAGACATCACTTCATCCGCTTCTGAGGAGATTTGGTTGGACACACAACACCATGGATATTGGCAAAAAGGTAGTGATTAAGCATTTTTCTTCTTATTGTTTGAACTGTCGTATGTTTGACCATTCCAGTTCTCAATGCCACCATCTACACCCCCAACTCAGACCAAAAAAGCAAAGCGCTCCGCCAGAGGCAGATAATCCAGCTCCTTCTATTGAGCTCCAAGTTATTGACACTATTGATCATCGAAAGTATACTTCTGAAGACGTCACTATTCTCGCAGTCAATATGTCACACATTTAGCCTTCACACAATGCTGTAGCTCCCCTTTCTTTGGAACCTCCTATCGTGGGGGCGAGGGAGATTCTTAAGACCCCAACTGCTCTAAAACCTATCATTGATATTACAGGCAACAATACTTCTATTGCTTCATTACCGCCTCATCAAGTTGAGCAAAATGTTACAGTTACTCAGTCTCATGGGGATCATAATGTGCAATAACCTACACCTGCCCGACCATCTTTGGAACAATCCATTGATCAGATGATCAGATGAGTCAATCCTCGACTCGAATGAGGAATGATAGGTCTACACATCTAGGAGGAAGAAGAAGAATGAAGACCTACTTGAGCTCAGGAATCTAATGGACTATACTTTGGTTACTTCGGGTAATGGTACGCATCTTACCAATCTGTTAGCCAGCTCCCTTCCGAGATCTAGAGGTAGAGAAAAGGACTAAAGTGGGATGTCCCTAGCACATTTGCACCCGTTGGTGGCTTTTTGGTTTTTTATTCTTTTTTATCTTTGCTTTATTTGGAGTTGTGTGTGTTGTATTGTGTGAGTTGGGCTTTCTTTTAAGCTCTCATATATATATATATGTATATATATATATATATATGGGGTTATTTGTCTTCTGAATTTCAATTGATAGATAAGAACAATGCATCAGGTGCTACTTCTCATTGTCTCTCATGTTCTTATTGCTATGTTTTTTTTTTTTTTGAAGGGTGTGCATGTTTCATTAAAATTAAATCAAAAGGTACAAAAAAAAACTATAAAAGCTACACAAAAAGAGAAGCAGCATGGTTGGCATTTTCCTCAACCACGCTCAAAAAGTTGGGGTTACTGGTTTGATCTTCTCAAAAGAAAGATCTATCCAAAGCAAGCCTGACAAAAAAATAAGCCGCTTTGTTGCGCTCTCTATATGAAAACAAAAAATAAACTGTCTAAAATTAGAGAGAAAAGTCAACTCCGGGCTCAGTCTGAGGTTCTGTCGCCAAATCTTAGTTTTCATGCTCTTCTGAAAGGAATTAATGACCCTTTTGTTATCCTCCTCAATAAGACTCCCTTCATTTCCAGCATCCATGGCTCAATAACAATGGCCAAAAACAACACCGCCTCATAATTCACCCCCGAGCTGTCCCAATGCAAAAGGGAACAACTGGCCGCAACGTGAATCTTACCACCTTTGTCATGAATTACAACTCGGACACCCACCTCATTGTTGGCCAAAAAGCACCATCAACATTTACTTTGAGCCATTCCGGAGGGGGGTACACTAGAAAGGATTGGAGACCAGCCTAGTTGGCCGAGAGGAGTCCCCATTGCTATGTATTTTTTCTTGCGGGTGTTCAAACCCTTGACATCTTTTCTGAAGGGATGAAAGCAATGTGATATGTGCTGCTATATGTTATCTTTATATCATATTGATCCCACGAAAACTACAGGCACAGTGACTATCTTAATTTAAACTATTTTCATTAACTGTTCAATAAAAGTCCTTATCAATCTTTTCATTCATCTGTTTTTGTTTTGTCAAGGATGTGTCGGAGTGGGAAGAAGATGCTGATGAGTACCTAAGGAAGAACCTACCATCTGACCTTGTATGGTGGTTTATTTTCCAAATTTTTAATGATTTTATTTCTTTTTGCGCAATTTTAGTTAGTCAATCATTTCCTTCTGCAGGACGACATTACAGGGTTGGCTGAGGATTTTTTTACTGCAAGGAAAAGTGCACTTAATTTGCTTGGCGTGATTGCAATGTCGAAGGTCTGTTTCATGAAACTGCTATGCCAGAATTTTTGTTGCTCATTTTCTTAGATTTCTCAATTTATGCCTGCTATTACCGTGCAATTTTATGAAACAAATTTAAAATTTTGTTTTTAACATTCTAAAAAATCTTTGTTTCTTTATATTTTCTCCCGCCTACAGGCCCAGATTGTTGTTGCTGCTGTTTGCATTTCTTCGAAATTATTTTGTTATTTTATTTCTTCTTTTGTTAATGAATATTTTTGATTATTTTATAGGGTCCTCCTGTTGTATCTACCGCTTCTAAACACAAAAAAAGGGACAGAAATAAAAAAAAAGAGTGCCACAGTTCTGTAGGTGAACTATTAGTGGTGCCGTTCCTATCAAAGTTTTCCATACCGTGCGGTGGGGAAGAGTTTTCATCAAAGATTTTGAAAGAGTGAGCTGAAAGAAAATGAGAATTTATTATGATATTCAATAGTGCTTTTGCTTTTAGCATGGCTTAATTCATTTTTACTAAACAGAAGTTTGTTTGGTCTGCTCATTGTCCTAACTGGCAGATACTATGGCGTTTTGATGGCATATGGAGGTCTCCAAGATGTAGGCTTCTGCAAATATCATTTCCTATTTTGAATCTGGTAGATATAAATAATGCTATAGCAACACTGTTTTCATAATAATTAAAATTTTTTGTTGCTGCAGTTCTTTAAAGGGAGAAGTTCTGAGTACATTCACTCGTTGCTTCAAAGCCGAGTACTTCCAATTTTTTCCTTGTATCCTTGTTCTCCATTTTTGCTTTCGACTGCCAACTGGTTACTTGGAGAACTTGCTTGCTGCCTTCCTCAGGTAAGTTATTTTGTACTTCGTGAAGTATGGGGAATGGTTGATGTTGAAATATAGCTATACCCGTCACTTGTAATAATATGGGAAATTTTCAAGTGATTCACCTAGTTTACTTGATGTGGCAGCTATGTTTTTATGCTATAAAATTTTTGAAATTTATATTATTTAGAAGTTCTTTTTACCTTTGTCAGTGAATGATGTTGCATTTGCATGTTGGTGTATATCTAAAGGCAGTTTGTGAGGCGTGGAGAAGTGATAAGAGTTCTACATGGGAGATGGTTTCTGTTGCTTGCTAGATATGCCAAATGTTTTGGGTTACTTGGTGTATGTTCTTTCTATCAGACGGGTTGTCATCATCCTTCTAATTAACCAAGTGAACAATTTGAACTTTCTTCAGGTGTGGTTTCCATTGTAAGAACTCTTTCACTCTGAAGTTGAGCTTTGTGAAGCAATGGTCTAATTTGACATAATTGAAATGGCAAACTCTACGGGATTAACCTCTTCTTTTGTTTTTGTACTCCACCTTTTTAAAATGAAGATACTGGCCTTAAGCACGTTTTATAGCCTAAACATAAGGTTTTAGACATTAGAAAGTTTGTTTTTGGAGGCATTATTCTAATGACCATTAACATACAATGCTGACTTTGATTCTATTGCTGTATTGTATAGCATGAAGACTAATTTTTTATTCTAAACAATATGATAGATGAATCAATATGAAAACAAATCATTAGATGTCGAGTAGTCTTGTCTTAATACGTCATATCACCATGTAAGAAAATTGAATCATAAGCCTATTTATTAAGCATAATATAAGTTAAAAATGTAATTTTTCATTTTAACTTTGGAAGATTTTTCTTTTTGCCTTTTTATCCCTTTGATTCCATTCTTTTTAATTTGAAATATATAATAATATATAAGACATTCATTGAAATCAGTGGAAAAATATAAGAGAGCTTAATTTTATTGATGTAAAGAGAGGTATAAATACCCATTATAGGACTCACTGGTAAGGAAAATAATAAAAACATAATACACTAGACAAGGAAAGGAATAATAACAAATATAAGAGGCAAATAATCTCTATAATTAAGGAGAAAAATAAATAGAGAATCCTAAGATCCCTGATACAATTTATAACCCTCTAAATATAGAGTTAAAAAAATATGAAATAAAATCATAATTATTTTCGAGATCTTCAACACTTTCCCATCAAGTTGTCATTAAGATATCTTTCAGAGCCAGCTTGCACACTAAATCGTCGAACTGTTTTTGTGAATACCATTTGTTAGAATATCTGCTGCTTGATCATTGGAAGGAACATACACCATGCAGATATCTCCTATGTCAATTTTTTCTTTGATGAAGTTCTTGTCTATCTCTACGTGTTTTGTTCTATCATGAAGGACAAGATTGTGGGCGATGGCGATGACAGATTTATTATCACAGTACATCTTTATTAGTGGTATACTATGAATTTTTAACTCATCGAGAATTCTTCTAATCCATAGAACTTCACATATCCTATGAGTCACAGACCTGAATTCAGCTTTAGCGCTGCTTCTTGCCACGACACTTTGTTGCTTGCTCCTCCAGGTTACTAAGTTTCCTCCTAGAAAAGTGCAGTACCCTGAGGTTGACCTTCTATCCGTAACACTCCTAGCCCAATCTGCATCTGTAGATGCTTCTACCTGTAAGTGGTCATTTTTCTTAAACAGTAGTCCTCTTCTGGGCGTTCCTTTATGATACTCAAGGATCCGATAGACAGCCTCCAAGTGATGAGTATTTGGAAAATGCATAAACTGACTTATCATGCCAACAATAAAGACTACATCAGAACGAGTGTGTGACAAGTAGATTAGTCATTCAACCAGTCTCTGATATTGTTATTTATTAACACCATCTATTTTATTTGTCACTTGTAACATTTTATTTTGTTCAATCGGGGTTTCAGCTGTTTTCAGGCACCCAAGCATTCCGGTTTCACTGAGTAAGTCGAGTACATACTTTTGCTAATTAATAAAGGTCCCCTCCTTAGATCTGACAAACTCAATATCGAGAAAGTACTTTACATCTCCCAGATTTTTAATCTCGAATTCTGTGACCAATCTTTCTTTCAATGTCTCAATTTCCCCAGCATCATCTTCTGTAAGGATAATATCATCGACATACACGATGAGTATAGCAAGTTTACCAGTTTCTGAATGTTTGTGGAACATTTTTCCTTTTATGGAGTCTCTTCCTGGAATAAACTAGAGGTTTTGCTGTTATATTATGTGATATTTCTCCCCCTGTATTAGACAAGATAATTTCAGGTCTCTTGACTAGGATTCTCCTGTTTTTTTTTAATTTCAACAACTATTTATGTTTTTTTGTTTTCACGGACTTCAGGTGTACTTGGTGTTAGAACAATCCATTAATAATGGATTAGAAACTTGCCAAAAATTATCCTCAATCTGTATTATACTCCCCCTGAAGTGGGTTTTTGTGAAAGAAGAGAATTTTTTCCATGAAGATCACATCCATACTAATGTAAGTTTTTTTGGTGATAAAATTAAAACATTTGTAACTCTTTTTGTTTGAAGCATATCCAAGAAAAATATATTTTTCAGATTTTGGATCTAATTTTGATCAGAATTTTTGAAGCATATCCAAGAAAAATATATTTTTCAGATTTTGGATCTAATTTTGATCAGAATTTATTCAAAATATGAACAAAACATGTGCATCCAAAGATTTTTAAAGGAATATTTGAAGATATTCGTAGAATTGAAAAACTGTTTTTCAGTTTACTTAGAGTTGTATATTGTAAAACTCGAGTTGGCATTCGGTCTTTTAAATATGATGTTGTTAAAACAACGTCCCCTATAAATATTTATGAACGCTCATTGAAAACATACTAGCTCGAGCAACCTCAAGTAAATGTCTAATTTTTTTTTTGGCAATTTTATTTTGTTGTGGGGTGTCACGACAAGTAAATTGATGATTTATGCCTTTGTTTATTAAGAACTCTCCTAAACTTTCATTAAAATATTCAGTTCCATTGTCAGATCTAAGGATCCATATTCTAATTTCAAATTGAGTTTCAATCATGTTGTAAAAATCTTAAAAAAGTTATTCAACTTTTGATTTTTTGCTTATATGATAAACCCAATATATTCTGGTGTGATCGTCAATAAATGTCACAAATCCCCTTTTTTCAAATAATGTTTTGACTTTTGAAGGTCCTCAAATATCATTATGGATCATGAAAAAAGGTTTTGAAGGATAACATGTTTTTGGAGCAAAATGTATGCGATGATTTTTTGCCAAATAACATGTTTCACATTGAAGTAAAACACGATTAACTTTCTTAAACAAATTAGGAAATAAGTGTCTTAAATAAGAAAAACTTGGATGACCTAGTCTAAGATGCGATTTCATTATTTTTTATAATGCAGGGTTCGAACTCATACTGCTGTAAGCTTGAACCCTTTTTTAATTAGGAATAATCTCCTCAAAGAAGTAATTTTCTCCTATCTTTTTAGCTATCCCAATCATCATCCCCGACTTCTGGTCCTAAAAAACACAAGAAGATTCACAAAAAATTACACGGCAGTTAGAATCATTTGAAAGTTTGCTAACAGATAGAATGTTACATTTGAGTTTTGGAACATAGAGTACAAATTTAAGACCTATACTCTTAGACAAGTTAATGTTTTCTTTTCCAGCAATGAAAGAGAAACTACCGTCAGCAATACGAACCTTTTCATGGCTAGAATATGGGAGACATGAATGAAATAAATAGTGGAAATTTGTCTTATGATCAAAATGTTCTCAATCAATAATCCAAAGGTTTAGGTTTCTAACCGTATGTACCATCAAATAATTTGGAGTACCAGCAACCAAATTGGGGTTTAGCAGATTCAGAAGTTGATCGATTTGCTCTTTGCTAAATGGGCTGGTTTGTTTGACAACAACATTTATAGTAGGTGGCTTGCGTTTGTTTTTTAGCTTCTAATCTACAGGTTTACCGTGGAGGTACCAGCATATTTCTTTAGTGTGTCGTGGCCTGTTGCAATGATCACATCACACCTGTGGTTTCTCCTCATTCTTCTGCAAATATGAAACATTCTGCTTGCTGATATGAACCTCAGAATGGATGCCGATGTCTCAGGTATGCTGGTAGAAGTGGATTTCTTGTTGAGCATCACTACTCTTCGAGTTTCTTCGCAGAGGACTTCTGAGAAAGCCTCATGTATTGAACGCATGAGATTTTTTTCGATAATTCTGCCCCTAACCTCGTCAAACTCCTCATTAAGTCCAACAATAAATTTTAAAATTCTATTTGTATCAACTATGTTCTTATACCTACTAGCATCATCAGGACACTCACTCTTGATCATTAAACAGGTCAAGGTCTTGCCATATTCTCTTCAAAGAATTGAAGTATTTTGTGACATAATCATTACTTTGACGAATATCACCAAGTTTCAGGGAAAGTTCATAAACCTGAGATTGGTTACCCATATCTGAATACATTTGGGCCACATTCTCCCAGAGTTCTTTGGCAGTGGAGTAACACATAGTTTGCGCCTACCTTTTCTTCCATAGAGTTCACCAACCATGTCATTATCATGGAATTTTCTGCATCTCAAGTTGCGTGGGATGGATCTGTAGTGGCTGGCTCACGAACTTCCCCTGTTAGGTAGCCTATCTTCCCTCTTCCTCTAATGTACATTCTCATCGATTGTGACCAACTTAAAAAATTATCACCATTGAGACGGATTGTGGTGATCTGGGCTGGATGATTTTCGGTGGTTCTAGGGAAGGATGGTGCAGACGCAGATGAGAGGGTGAAAGGCTGGATAGAGGTAGCAAAATCAATTGTATTTTCAGACATGATAGAAGGAAGAGATGGTTCGACTTTGCAGGAGGTGGAAGAAGTCCTAATGGCTGCTCAGGAAGAAGCTTCGCAGGTGGCGACCACAGGTTACGCAGGTAGATGTTTCAGCGACTGTGTG